ATATAAAATTATTAAAAATATTTGTAAAAGAAAATACATTGATAAATAATCAATATATGAAAAATTTTTCTTTTATTATTATATTTTATTAGTTAATGAATATTTTTCATAATCAATTAAAGAAAAATTGAATCGGAATAAAACTATAGAGAATTATTTCCGAAAGATATAAACATTAATAATATAACTATATATATATATATATATATATATATAGAAACCTGTTTTATAAAACATTGCACTAGTATCTTCTTTCTCAGTATCATTCGAACTAGCGGTAGCATTATTAAACGTGGGTATCATGAAAATTTTTTTCATAACGAATTGCTTTATTGTTATTATTATTTCATTGTTTGGCATAGCAATTCAAGAAAATCTTGCACAATATATTCCTCCAACACCAAGTGTAGAACCTCTCTATCCGATAGGATTACGAATGTCTATTGCTCGTAAGTAGAATTCCTTTATGTTATTTCTTATTTATTTTTTTAATATTATTTTATTACAGTTCTATTATTCTATTTGGAATTTAATTTTAATTTTTTTTTAATAAAATTATTAGTAAAAAGAATAATAATTATTGAAAGCGAGAAGAATGAGGAAATATTTTTATTTAGTAAATAGAATTTTTTTACCTAGAAAATAATATTTAAAAGAAAAATAAAAATGATATAAATGATACATCATAATGTATGATTATAGTAATAATTATAATACAATATTGCAATTTTAAAAATTTGTTAATTTTAGTTTTGAAGAATAAAAATATATACAAAAATTATATTTATTTTGTTCATTGAAACATAAATAAATATTATTTATGTAAATATTGAAAAATATTGAATAAAAATTTTCATTGAAATTTATTTACATGAAATTTATTTATTAAACATAAAATAAAAACTAAATTAAATAAGGAAAATAAAAATAAAATTTTACAATGAAAAGAATTCGATACGTAATAAAGTATATTAATTTACGGCAATGTAATTGTATTTGTCTAATTGTATTCTATAAAAATTAATTAAAATAAAACATTATTGCATAACAATACAATATAATAATTTATAGATATTTATACAAGAATCTAATATTTAAAATAATTAAAGTATTCAATAATTAAATTATTTTTACAAACATAAAAAATTTTACGATAGAAAAATTGTTTTGTTTTCACTTAGATGAAGATGGCATCAGTTTGGTCGCGTATCATGTAAAATTTAATGATGATTTCTATAGTCTCGAAGCAGGAACTATTGCCAGAGACATTATAAAACCACGTAATGGTCGTTGGGTATATGAGGATCGATCCACAAAATTGAAACTAGGAGACATAATTTATTATTGGGTTCACGTAGTTTATAATGGCCTCGGTTATAATCTACTTGATCAAAAACACGTAGTTAATGGTCAGTTTAAAATGAAAGAAATGATTTTTGTATAAATCGATTTTGGTGAACTGATTTTTGTATGACAATTATATCGATTGATTTTTTCTTTCAGAATTTTATAATTACGATGCTTCACCAGTTTCGAAAGGAGATAAAAGTATTCCTGAAAAAAAGGTTGACACTTGTACGGCATCTTCGCAAACTAAAATATTTGAAAGTAATTCGAAAAATCAACTACTGAATAGACAAATCTGCCCAGGTCAATTGATTTTTGAAGAGAATTTCGATTCTCTTAATACAACACGTTGGACGATTCTTGAACGCTTTGCAGGTCCTCCTGTAAGATAAAACGGAACATATTTTAAAAACATATCGTTATAAAATAAAAAATTTAATTCAGTAATAAAACAATTTTTTCATCATTTCATTTTAGAATTATGAATTCGTTATATACATGAATAATATCGACAACGTGAAAGTTAAAGATGGTATTTTGCATATTGAACCAATTTTGACTAACGAGAAGTATGGACCAGACTTTATCCGAAGCAATAGTTTGACTTTAGAAAAGTAAAAATTTATTACAAAATCAATTACAACAAAGTATAATAATATTCATATTAAAAATCTTTAACATCTTTTTAGATGTACAGGAATCGTTGAAAGCGAAGAATGTAAACGATTCGCAATTGGATCACATATTATACCGCCTGTGATATCAGGACGATTAAATACTAAATCATCCTTTAATTTTCAATATGGTCGCATTCAAATTCGTGCTAAATTACCTCGTGGTGATTGGTTATTTCCTTGTGAGTTTTATTCTATATTTTGTAAATAATCATTTATATTATTTATTCACATAATTCTAAATTGTTATATATATATCGAAACAAATAATGTTTCTTTTCTGATTAGAGTTATAAAAAAAATGCTAGAGATAATGTAATTTTTTTTTTAATTCTGATTAGGAAAAAAAATAAAATTTCATAATAAATTTCATATAAATCACTTTTTATTACATATGAATTAAATATATAATTCTATATATTTTGAATCATTATCATCAATATCATTTAATAAATTCAAATTTTAATAAATAATTTGTAATAATTTATATTTCAGTGATTACCTTGGAAAGTACAGATATGTGCACAAAAAATTCATCGATTTATTGTGATATCGTAATAGTTCACTCAAACGGAAATTCTGTCCTTATATCACAAGATGGAAACGATTTGAGCGGACATTTTCTTCTAGGGGGTGCTCATGCGACAGATATAAATTCACATATTCCACAGGATAATAAATTAAATCTTCCCAAAAAGAAATCAGAAACTTTATGGTCAGACGAATATCACCTGTACGATTTAGAATGGAAACCTAATCAAATCATAGTTAAAGTTGATGGAGTAGAATATGGCCAACAAAATGTACCGGCATTATACGATATTCCGGTTAGTAATAATTATCTGATAATAAATGACAAATACTTTTAAAATTATTATTTGTTAATTCTATTTCATTTTTCATCGATATTTTCTTTCATACAATAGAATAACATTATTTTAAATCCATCATTGATTTATTAATAATTGATATTATTAGCAATTTTAAATGATTTATTACGATACGTTCTATATTTTTCGTAGGTTTATATTAATATCGGTTTAGCCGTAGGAGGTCATATTATCTTTCCAGATAACTGCATCAGCGGTAACTATGTAAAACCTTGGAGAAATGTCGGATCGAAGGTACTTCTATTTAAGCAATTTAACTTTTTTTTTAATAAAAAAAAAAAAAAAATTATTAACAAGAACGTACATCTTAAACACATTATTGATTGTAGGCACTTTACCACTTCTACTTAGCAGAAAACGATTGGATAAAATCTTGGAGAGTGAGCGATATCGGTTTACACATAGATTATATTAAAATCTGGGCAGTTTAATTTTTTCATTTTTAATTCAAAAATACACGTAATCACTTTTTAATTATTCTTGGTTGTATTTACATTCCTTCTTCGTCCATATAAATTAATAAGATATATAACAATTAAAAAGATGGTGGTGGTGGTACCAACACGGAAGGAGGTAACGGTTGTCGATAAGGCACGTCATCTGGATGAAAACCGGAACCCAATAATTCGATCAACCACTGACCTCGATAGCCATAACGTCTTTGATAATCAAGTGAGGCCCGAGGCCCGTCTTCTGGTCTAAATTCGAACATTATTTTTTTTCTAGTATCCGGAGAAGCTATAATTCTTAGAAAAGTTTCTACACCATTTCTTGGCCATTCCCAAAATCTTCCATTAGACCACAATGTTCGAAGCATAGCTGTCCATCTTGAAGGGAACATATCGAACGGAAGTGTTCTAGCAACTCGGGTTGAAATAGTTCCATTGCACTCGACGATTATGCACAGCTGTATATGCAATAAAAGAATAATAAAATGATTTTTATCGCGCAATTTTATGTAAATATATGTCATGATCAGTAAATATGATCGTAAGTCCACTTACTGCACAGAATATTGCTAATGTGTGACTCGTGCGCATTTTTTTTTTTTTTTTACTAAACCTCTACGTAGAAACACAGAGAAAGTAATCCCATTGTTCATAGTGTCCACCAACCTTTATGTCTTCTGAGTGAGTGACAATTTCGTGTATAGAATACATTTTAAGTTTTTCGTGATAGAATTGTCAATCGTTGGCAAAGACGTAACATAATTTTTCAAATGATTCGCGCCACATTGTTCGACATCAGTTTTCTTTACTTTCACTGATTGCATTACGCCATATCACTACAATATATCAGATGATTTCTTTTCTATATGTATAGTCACCTTTGGAAGCGGAGTTAGTTGATATTCTACGCTTATCCCGCTCTCGTCGTACCACGTTACCGACAACGTGATTCTACGTGACCAACTCGAGGAGGAATAACATGGACTACAAACGTAATTTGGTAGTTAGAGCTAATAGAAATTTTTTTTTAGATAGTTATAAATAGCAGAAAAATTTACTTGTTTTTGATCTTTTGCATAAATATATAATTTTGCATAATTTTCGTAATTTCCCTTATTAAGTTATATAGATAATTATAGTATGTTCAAAACGAATGGTTTTTAAAAATACATTGCAAAATTGAGATTTCAATTTAATTAGTATCTTATGAACGAAATTTTTTTACATTTGAATATAATGTTACTTTACTTTGAAAAAGAAAAGAATAATTTATATTTATGCATGAAATGTTTTACAATTAGTAAAGTATCGTAAGTAATATAAATGAGCTTGAGAACGATTAAATTTATGTATGTCGCTCATTATTTTTATATTTTTTTTCTAATATATAATAAAAAATATCAAAAAATTTAATATAATATAATAGTAAGCTTAAAAAAAATACAGAATTATAATTAAAATAATAATAAAATATACATACATATAAATATACAATACAAATAAATATTATGAACTTTACATTCATATATGCAATTTTAAAAGATTATTATATTTATCAAATATATTCAATATATAAAAAATAATAATAATTCGAATAATTATAAAAAAATATGTATTTATATAAATATATATATATTATTCTATGTATATTAAAATTAAATTACACTGATAAATTTTTC